CTGCTCTTGTCACAATGACCATGTGGGGGGGGGGATTCTGATGTAGCCGTGTTGAACATGGACTCAATAAATGAAAGTCTTTATGGGCATTTATTATAGGGCGCTTGATACCACTTCCAGGAAGGTCAATGGCCAGGTTTTAAACAGAAGTGTGCAGCGCTGGCTGTAATCACTCTACTTGATGCGGTACAGTAATTGCAGACCAGCGAACTCATCTAGATGAACAAACATTAGCCTCGGGAGGTTATAAGGACGCCTGGATTAAGTGGAAGTTGTCTGACGCAAGGGATGGAAAGGACCGAAATTTGGAGCAATGCTGACAACCACAGTTATCGTAAAGAGAATTTAAGTTACAGACCATTAAATCCAGTGCATGCTGGGATTCCAGCTCACTGTGACCCTGAGGGGTATTGCACAAAAGTAGAATAAAGAAATCCAGGATAATTGAGCAAGCGCGGCATGACCTAGTCTGCTCGCGCATCCTGGCTTAATTGGTTGCACGTTTGCCGATGAAAAGGCGTGGCTATGTTAAGCCAGGTGTGGATAGTCGGGATAAGTGCGTGTTCACAGCATACTGAAATAGACCTCGCGATCGCTCACAGAATCACCATCGCCATAAACCATCAGAATGGATAAGAGGCGCGCTTCATATTTCACGGCCGCTGAACAACAGCTCCTGATGGAGTTCTATGAAGAGGTGAAAGATATAAGAAAAAAAGGCAATACCAATGCCATAATTAAAGAAAGAGAGAAAGCCTGGTAGACAACAGCGGACCGGCTTAATGCTTAAGTAGTCCAAAACTGGACAATTAATAAACAGTGCTCCACTGGAACTGTCATAATTAGGCTACAATTAAAAGGACTAAAGGAGTTACTTTAAGTCCACTAATCAACTGTTGTACACTTTGCTTTAAATGTGGCAGGTAGAGGTGCATGTTACTTAAATGTAGAGTATGATTAAGTGCAAACAATTCATAAAGAACAAACTTGTCTGGCCATAAAAAGACCTGGCAGCGAGTTACATTAAAAATGTTAAAGTTAAATACAAGACCATTTTGAAGGCTGGTAAGTGACTATAAAGTAGATAACAGTGAACAAATGAGGTGAATAGATTAGGTGTCTGCTGACATGTTGAATGTCTGTATGATTGTAGCAGTTAAAAAAAAAGCCCATAGAACTGGCACAGGGGGCGGCCCACCAAGCCAGGATATGTGCGGCAAATGGTTCCTTTATTGAGGTTCTCTGCATCCCCAACAGAATAAAGGAAGCTCCCACTTGCAAAACATCTCAATGTAACACACACCATCTGTGGTACAGTGAGAGCATGGCTTCCTGCCGTCTGGTGCTGTATTTTTGGACCCAGCAGCCTACATAAATATCTTAGTCCATCACCTGAGAATCTGTATCTCTCAATGAGACAGTCATCTCCAACGGCCGATGGGTCTGACCTGTCACTGAAGACTCTTTCATGACTAAATGCTCGTCTGTGAATGGGAGTTGGATAGATAGATAGATAGATAGATAGATAGATAGATAGATAGATAGAGATAAAGCTTTTTTTGTCAAAATGTGTCGAATATATTCCATATTACCTCACTCTAAACATAATCAAGCAAGCCCAATGTTGTCAGGTCGCTAGCTAGCTCACTTAGATAGGCAGCAGTTACACCTGGAAGTTAGCAGGTGTCCACAAACAATAAGCAACATATTTGGAGAATATTCTGCTTATCAAACTCTCCTGGATAAACTAAAACTTTAGAGTGACCAAACTGAAAACAAGGTTAATTTTTAGCTCCTTTAAAAAAAAGACATTTTGTTAATTATTAAAGCTCACTGGGGCAGACACCCCCCCCTTTGTGAATGAGTTAATATAATGAATGCTGCTTTCTGGGTGACATATTAAATAACATTCAACCCGCTACTAGTGTTTGCTTGTTAGAAACACAGCTTTTCTTATTATCTCTGACTGAAGACACACCTGTGTGACCTGCTCTTGTCAGTGTACAGACCTCCACCACAGTAGCAGCACGACCCGGCTGTGTCTCCCCCAACATGTGCATGATCCTGATAAGGAGTGCGGAGTGGCAAGACAGCTGTTTCTGACTTTACTATGCATGGGGGGGACGATGGTTGCCATTTACTAGAGGGAAATATAGGTTTAAATACAACAACGTTGTTCAATTTATATATATTCCTGTGATGTTTTGGCCTTTTAGGATTTTTGTTTAAATATTCTATATGTTTCTTAAGTTTCAAGACATGAAACAAAAGCTGACACAGCAGTCAAACTCATTCAACCTCTCTGTGTTAGGACTTACCTGTTTCAGAAAGGCTGCTGCTTCCAGAGCTTCGTTTCTTGCTCTTCTCAGTTTCCTTCCACGCCAAAACACTGCGATTTAGAACAACTTCTACCTGTCTGTGCTTCTCGAAAAGCCTCGATGACAGCAATCTGCTTTGATTGTCCATTTCGTCGCACAGTCGTGTCATTGGTTGCGCTGTCGTCCGGTCATTCCTCATCCCAACTTTGTTACGGCCCGCGTTACAAAGCGCGCTGAGCGTCTGGACTGTGTGGAGGCAGTGAGCCGGTCGGTCCGAACTCCCAGCTGAGGACTACAAACCCAAGATCGTGTGTGAAGAAAGATGATTCACTTCACGGTGGAAATGAAACTGGCCTACTTTTCATCCTGGGCTGTCCCGCAACAAGCAAACAACGGAGATAATAGGCTTCATATAAATGAGATGTCTGCATTTATGAGGCAGAGCTGATCAGTATTATGCAACCTGAAAATGAATTACTGTCATTGAAAAGCTGTTTTTTTTTTAAATAAATCCTGAACCTAGTCATTATGGCAAGAAAACAATCCTTTGTAACCCTATTATCACATCAAAAACTGTACAAAACCAATAATAATAATAATAATAATAATAATAATGTATACAGCACTGTTTAAAACAAAGTTACAAAGTGCTTTACATTGTTAAATCTGGATTAAAACATCAAAATAATATAAAAATACAATGGAATACAATAAAGATAAAAACAATATAATAATAATAATAATAAGATATGCATTAATAAAATAAGTTTTCTTAAAGATAAGCAATAATGCCTAATGTATTTTTATACTAATTAAATAAAATTCACTGATGTATTACGGTTGGTTTATTGTCTCTTTTGGAACCCTCATCATAATTAAAAAGAAAAAGAGTCCCATTTTTCTAACTGTGTTATGAGTTTTGGGAAATGTTTACTTTAAGTAACTGAATCTTAAATGTGCTAACAAAACATGTCTGCAGAAGCTGGGCAAGTTTATTCTTCCTCAAACCCAAACCAATGCCCTATACAGCATCTGACGTGGCAGAAGTAGGAAATAGTGACAGAGTGAGAGCTCACGCCTTGCGTAGTCTGCTTCAGTCCTGTGGAACAAACACTGCATCAGCACTGTCAGTAAACACATACTCTCTAATGCATGACTCAGAGCAGTTAGGTGCTTCCACGCTGTTCCAGACTGAAGAGTTGAATAATTACTATAACCTCTCATAACCTTCAGACAGCAGTGAGGCAAACAACAACAACAACATTAACACAAATGATGACTAAACTGTGGTTTAAATGGGTTTGTCCTGCACAACATCCTTAACTCTGCTTTTACCTCAGTGGGAATTGGGCTGGTTTTAAGATGGAGTAAGTAATATATCAGTAATAGTTTATCCTGTTTCTTTCTGCACATACAGTATTTGCCTCTTTCTTTCTGTGTGTGACAGAGAGTGAGAGACAGATAATAAGAGAGGAATTAGAGGAGGTATTGTCAAAGTTAACCATCCGCTTCTAATATTGTATATACAGTGAATTTTCATGTTCAGGCCCCCGAAGGTTAATAACATTTTGTGCGTTTTGCTCATGTGCAGGCTAGAGAACTTTTTTAAACTTTAAACTTTGTATCATCTACTGTAGATAACAATGTAAATGACGTAACACCCTGACATGGTGAGAGGCACACTATTTGAACACTGCATGATGCTGAAATGAAGTCAAATAAACTTAAGAGAGGTAAATAATATAATATGGCCCATAGCTGGCCAGAACACATTTGTGTAAAAAAAATAAATATTCAAACATAAATAAAGCAGACTACAGTCTGTACTGAGTGAGTATCATCTCTATTCTGTCAGTGCAACACAGAACATATGTTCATATTTAAGGGTCAAATGAGGATTAACATGCTCTAACTCTGTTAATCCTCACTTACCAACAGGAAATATGACATCTCCCCTAGTAAGAAAATTGTCTAAATACATGTTATTCTTAATTTAATAAAAATAAACATATTTTAAAAATATAAGAATGTTCTCCACTGTGCCTGTGAAACTTTGGGCACTCTATGAACAATGCTTAAAAAACAGGCCCATGGTTAATCCTAACTGTTTATCCCTCCTATAAAGAGACAAACTCTTATTCAGTGTCTCTATATGACTATGCTACAGCACTTTACCACTACATTATACATTTCTGTAAGCTATAATTGTACATATTCATATTTATATGATGATCTAGTTCCTGACCTCCCACACCCCAGGGAGTGTGAATTGATGAATTGGCTTGCTGATGATTAGAAACATGGCAATTAAAACCTACGATCAGTAATAATCATTGCCTCAAACAATACAAACATATATTATTTTATATTATCTAAACATGGCATCTTTAAAAACTTGAGTCTGAGTAATAATGTATGTATACTATGGTATATAAACAATAGTAAACCTTACTAAACTGTAAATACATCAGCATATACTGTACCTATGAACTACTGATAATGCTCCTCTCCCTACCTGTGGTCCTGATGCTGACGGGCCCCTCTTTTGATTGACACACAGCTCGTAGTTTCTGCCAACACATCAAACACAGCGGACCATGACGTCAGTAGCTTCTCACGCCACCTAACGGCGGATCTCACTTGTGATTGGCTGACAACGAGGAAGCGTGAACGCAGCCAATCACAGCAGCGTTTGCTCGCCGATTAGGCAGTATCAACATGGCAGCTTTCTGAGTTTTGGAGGAGGGGACCTGGTGTAAATAAACACAAATTTCACATTTTACACACAACGACAGCGTTCGCGTGTTTGTGTTTCAGGAGTGGTGTGGCCGTAGAGGCAACATGTCGACGGACGGAAATAAAAAACAGTTTTGGAAAAGAAACACAGCGAAGGTTCCCGGCAGGTGAGTGACGTGTTCCCTCCTGTCGGCTAGCTCAGCGCAGCTAGCCTTACTCTACTGACCGCCTCTCTGTTGAGCTTCAAAACGCCACTTTGACTTTTCACTGACGGCCCTAAAGGCATGGCTCAAAGTCTGCCAACTTCACACCTCGACGTGCACCAGTGTCTGTGGTGAATGAGTCTCGCAGACACAGTGGCACCTTTTCTGCTGTTAGCTTGGTTGAGAGCTAATACGTTGCTAACGTCGGCTAACAGTTGAGCAATTTACCCACAGCGCAGTCACAGAGTTGTAACTCATATATACAGTGCGGATACAGTTACCGGTTTATATTACAGAGTAGCTATGGTCTTACAACAAGTTAAAGTCGTTTTTGCCACACTTAGTCGCAGTATGGTAGTTTTAACTAGTATTGTTTTGGGGTAATATGAAGCTAACGTGGCTAGCTTGACAGCTCATTCATTTACACTCTCTCTTCTTCACTTCCTCAGCATTCAGCATGTGTATGGCGCACAACACCCACCCTTTGACCCGCTCCTTCATGCTAAGTAAGTTAAATGTACTTAGTCATTGTACGTAAATCCTCTGTGATCTTGTTGGGGTAGTTTAAAAAGTGTTACACGGATGCTTATGTAAGTTCCTGTGTCGATGCTAACCGTTTGCCTCAGTTGCTAATCCACACGAAACACAATCTGAAGTTGACACTCATTCAGGACTTTCATTAACTGGTTCACTGGAGCTCTCGTAGTATTTATCCATCTCAATTCACCAGTGAGTGCCAGTAGAAAGGGATTTTTTTTTTTTGGCAGAGGACATTTAAACAACAAACAGCAGAACAAGTTACAGGGCGACGACCCAGCCACTCACAGGAGATAGAAATCAGACTGATACTGTGAGAACAGGTCATACTTTTAGTCACATCACAATCAGGAATTAGGAAGTGTTTGTTTGGCCTTTTGACAGCTGACCCCAGACACAGGCTGTGACATCATGGAGTGGGATGTGGTTATGATTGCAATATACTTAAATGTGTGGAAAGACACACACACACACACACACACACACACACACACACACACAGTATCTCAGGTCTATATATATGTCAGGTCTTGTAGTATAATTCTGGTATCCTTTCATTTGCACTCTATGGCCCGTCCTGTTGGGTCATTGGAAGTAAACCCACCAAAACTATAGTTGTTAGACGTCTGGGTGGGCAGCTTATAGGACATGAGGAATTCTTTCAGGTTTTTTTTGTATTTAAAAAACTTGTAATCATGTCCAGTACAAACAGATTAGTTATATGAAGACTGAAGAATTCAAACGGAAGAAAATTAAGTAATATTTCAGGAATACAGGATACCTGCACATGCCTGGAGCGTGTATAAATATGCAAATTAAAGTTTAATTTAATGAATTAATGAATTAATTAATAAGAAACGTATTTTGTGAATAGAAAAACTGTATAATTCTGTGTAAAGTATGTAGAAAACATTTTTCATTAACCATCATAGGAGGTATTTTTGACTTTTTAGACAATACCTGTTCCATTTTACACACGCACACCGATAGAGGAAAGCCTATTATTCTGTAATAATCCTTTTAATTCTTTTGACTGATATTTAATAATGTAGATTTCCACAGAGGGTTGAATTTAATTTGCTTGTTTTTTGTCAGTATATGTTCAGACTCTCTCTTTTCTTCTAAGTTATGATGGAAGTAAGCTAATATGGACAAGTCTCTCTCTTTATTATGGTAATCCTTGTCTTTGTAATAAATCAGAGCACCCCCCTCACCCCCTTCCCCGTTCCCCCCTCCCCCTCCCCTCCTTCCACCTTTCTTTTTCCGCATTGCATGATAAAATGGGAAAGGTTGAGTGTAATTGAATTCATGCTGAATGAAATGGTGTCCTTGCAGCACAAAGACTGCAACTCAGTAAAATTTAGTTCTTTTGAACATTTGCAGATTCAGTCTTGTTTTGGTGTTAGAGACCTGCTTTTGATTCAAAGGTTGTAAGATTAAAAGTCTGTGTGTAGTGGTGGTGACTCACACATCTATGTGTGCATCTGTGCACTATTTAATAATTTGTTTTTTTTTTTTTTTACGGAATTTGTTAAGGACAAATTTAATGGAATTCATTAATAGTTAAATGTTTTATCTCTTTCACATACCTAGTTTTCTTTTACTTCTTTGCCCACCTGTCGATGTCAAAATTTTTTACTTCTCATCTCTGTCCTTTTTTCTCTTATCCTCACAGTGGTATTTACTTTATCACCCTCTCCTTTCTTCTCCTTTCCGGCCTGTTTGCCACTTCTGCTTTTTTCCTTTTCCTACACCTCACCCCCACTTCTCCTCACCCTTTTTCTCAATTTCTATTTTCTTATCCTCTTGCCCTTGTCTTCTCTGTTTTTATGGCCCTGTCTTTGTCCTCCAGCCTGATTAAAGCAGGCAACAAGCCTCCTCCAACCACGCCAGGCAAACCCAAGAAGGCTACCACCTTCCAGGAGTTTGAGAGCATCACAAGTGACGCCTGGGATGTTGGGGATGATGACGACGAGTTGCTGGCCATGGCTGCACAGAACCTTAATATTGAGGTGGTCATGGAGACAGCCAACAAGGTGAACAACCAGATGTGGTGGCTTGCTGTAAAACAATTAAACCTTTCAATAAAAACATAGTCAGTCCATTAAAGATTTTCATGAGTCTTAGAACCTCTAAAACCGCTTCCTGTTCCACTACAGTTTCAACTGTATAGTGAGAAGTGTGTTTTCCTGACAGTATAATTGTAAACCGTTGCTACAAAATCTACTTTTTTCTTTTCTTTCTTTTCATAAAAATGACAGTACAGCGTTAAACATCTGTAAAATGCACTGCTTTACGATAGGGGTATACCAAAGTATTTTTCTAATAGTTGCTCATGTAGCATAAATGTTGAAGCTTAAAGAAAATTTTAAATGCAATTTGTATTTATCTTTAATAAATACACACATCTCAAGTTGCTAACTTAAATGAAAAATTACAGAAAGTGGCACACTGTAATATTTTATATGGAGTTTATTAGGTTCTGTCTGTCGTCAGCAAAACCTGAGGCTCACCGGTGACGCATCTTGTTTTTCTGTCAACTGAACAGGTGATCGAGAATCACAGCAAGCAGCAGGAGAGACAGAGGCAGGATGACACAACAGAGCTGGAGCAGAGAGAAGAGGACACGCAGGAGGAGGTGGCAGAGGACGAGGAGGAGGATGGGGAAGAGGAGGAGGACAGGGTGGGGGAAGGAGACGTGACCAGCCCAGAGGTGTCGTTTCCCTCCCAGAGCAGCCCTTACACTGATGGCCGCCTAGTGAAGTCCCACAGCGAAGCTCCAATTGGGTCACCTAAAGGTTAGTGGACACCATTGCTCTTTGTCCAAAAAGTTTTCTGGCTCACTTGCATACTAAAAGCTAGACTGCTTTTACTTTTGGTGCACCAGTGTCATGGAAAAGACCTGAAACCTATAGCTGGGGGACAAATCTCAACAATCACACTATACCTGCTTTTGAGTTTTAAGTTTTTGAGTTTGCAGTTGAGTTTGGTTATTTTTCTGTTTTGTTTGAGTATGTTTTTGTTTTTACTATTTACCAAAAACTAAATGTGGTGAAAAAAACTTTTAATGCTTACTATAAACTAAATTTAATTAATTAAATTAAATTAATGCTATGCCGTGGATAAAATAGAACATATTCAATATCAATATCAATTAACTCACTTTTACAAGTGCACAATTTACAGTGTTTTTTGTCTGCATCATGTTTTTTATGTATTTATTTACTCTGGCCACACAGCTGCTTTGTGTCACCACATTTAAATGGTATCAAGTTTCAACAGAACCAGAGAAAATATTTGGCAGATGTTCTCACTCTGTAGAGCGAGTGTTACTGATAGACTGCCAATGTTGTGTTTTGATTAGACTTGCTTGTGGTTTAGACTGAGTATACAGGGCTCAGCATTGACACAGTTTCAGAACACACAAAGATGAAAGCATTCATAACAATCACGGTCAGATTTTTGTTAAAAGATAGTAGGAAGTGTTGCAAGCCAGAATCCAGAATTAACACCCACCAAGCGTCAGATGTGGGTACATTTTGGGTTTGGTGAGGAAATAAATTGGGCTCACCGGTAAGTAATTTGCAATCACAGTGTAGGGCCGGATTTGCATAACTGTTTTTATATGTACCGGCTGAGAAAGCTTACTACTATTTGGTGCTTTCTACGCAATGTCTGTCTGTGTTTTTCCCGTAATCTACATTAGATGTAAGTACAGATGTGTCAACACATTCCTGCTGTTAAGCTACCAGAAAGAAAACATGAAGATGAAGGGAAAAGCCACAGAGGTTGGCGGTTTTGAACGACATGGGAGCCCCAAGATCCTGGCTAAAATATGAAGCTCAGAAGGTTCAGAAAGGCTCAAAACTTGAGATTATTATTTTTAGTCCAATAATAGTAATAATAAGTAATATGCAGTTTTATGGCCGGTAAAAATATATTTAAAAAAAGTTAATTTTGGACTAGCAAGAGTGATACTTATTTATGGATATTGGTGGGTAGTTATGTCAGACTACCCTGTTATCTCTCTCTGATAATGAAAACAGAAGCAAAGGAAGAGAAAAAATACACTGAGTTCTTCATAATAATGCCTCAGGCATCGGTTTCTACCCTTTCCTCTCCTCTTCCCCATCTCTACTTAAACAGCAGATGACAGTAGAAAGAGACACCTACCCTCATACTCCTCCTCTTCAGTTCGGGTCTGTGCTTCCTGAGCACATTGTTTTAACCCCGTAGTATGGAACAACTGCTCTGTCATGGCTCCTGTTGTTGCTGTGTCACTGTTCAAGACCTCTTCCAAAAGTGACTTAAAGGACCAGTGTGTAGGATTTAGTGGCATCTAGCGGTGAAGTTACAGATTGCAACCAGCTGAATACAGCTCAGCCTTCCAAGCGAGTAGAGTAGGAAAAACTACGGTGGCTGTGAAAAGGCCCTATCTAAAGCCAGTGTTTCCATTCTGGGCTACTGTAGAAACATGGCAATTCACCATGGGAGCCTCCGTGGAAGAGAACCCCCTCTCTCTGTAGGTAATGTCTCATTGTGAGTGTCATTTGCAGGTGGTTATACACTGATTAAACAAACATACCCATGAATATTATATTCCTTTTCCCCCAATACATCCTGGACCTTTTTTAAATGTTTACATTTTCTAACTTAAAACCAGGGCACAACAGCACTTTATCCTTCTGTTAACCAGCTTTATCCTCTTCCTTGTAAAAAAGATAGATGAAGAAATTTGTGAAGACATAGTTCTACTGTTGCTTTATAGATTGTAACATCAGCAGCAATAGCAGCAGACGCTGTACATTGCGAACGTCTGGCTGCCTAATGTCCCGTCTGCCTGGTTGTCTGCTGTTGCTGTGTTTAGATACAGATAACATAAGAATCCCGTCGCCTTCAGGCAATTCCTCTTATCTCCTCAGAGAAGCCGAAGCACAGGCTTGCATGCACTGCCACGTCATGTACAGGGATATGCAAGACGACACCTTTTCCACCTCTAATGAGCATATATACCAACTTCAATACATTTGCACTCGCTGTACATGGCATTAGGGTAAACAAATTGACATGCACAGTTACAGTAAGGCTGACAGCTGGTTTGCTTTGTCCTTTCGTTGTCGATTTGATTTCCCTCTACTTCTCTGCCCTTTTCTCTTCCCTTCTCATGTGTGCAAGATGACAGCGAAGAATAGCGTGAGCACACTTGGCCCAGTCTAATTAGGTAATGGCACACAGCATGGCTTTCATTAGTGAGGCCCAGACTTTCTTTTGTACAGTATATACTCATACTTGGCAATGTCCATCCCACTACCCTGCAGCTTAGAGAGAAAGCAACACACAAACATGCTCACACAAAGAAGCTGGTGTTCATTGGGCTCCTCTGATGGTGTCTTTTGATTTTTCAAACAAAAATACACACTGTGCCACTATAATAGCCTCTAATAGAGGTTGAAGAGGAGTACTCTTTTGGGTATTTCATGTATGTATTTTTTCCTTCCTTGTAATAATTACTGCAGCATATTGTGACTGACAAGTGAACATAACTATCTTCCTTTAACTTGGCTTTTTCTTTTATTGCCCCTTTTAAAAGTTATTAAATGGACTATAAAAAGGGCTTATTGTTAAAACCGTACAAAAGGTTCTACTACAAAGAAGCTTTAATAATCTTTTTTAATTTTTGTAAGTGCAAATAAAGCAGTTGAGAACAGATTTGTAGCTTTTTATTTGTTCTTGTAAAAACTGAAAAGGATATTAAAATAGGCAGCATTCCAGTTCTCTTAATTGCAATGGAGTGTTTGTGTGTGACTCCACACGCAGTAGATGGGGTTTGCTGTAGCAGGGAAATGTTGGCAGTGCGGTTCACAGGCGTCTTTATGAACTTTTGCTTAGTGTTCAGTGTGACAGAAGGAGCGTCCCTCTCCACACTGAAGTCCTGACCTGACCAGCTTGTTCATAACTTGTTCTGTGTGGTTGGCACTGTTTTGTTCTGTGTTCTGTCTTTTTTTTTTAGCACATCTGGTGGAACATGTGGCTTCACAGTTAATTCAGAAATTTTGCAACAAACATTGCTGCCAGCCTGGAGGCTCAAAGCAATACAAGCCACTAACACCCTGTGCTGCATCATCTGAAAGCCCTCCATTTGTGTGTGTGTGTGTGTGTGTGTGTGTGTGTGTGTGTGTGTGTGTGTGTGTGTGTGTGTGTGTGTGTGTGTGTGTGTGTGTGTGTGTGTGTGTGTGTGTGTGTGTGTGTGTGTGTGTGTGTGTGTGTGTGTGTGTGTGTGTGTGTGTGTGTGTGTGTGTGTGTGTGTGTCTGTGTTTATGTAATCCTTTGCCCTGTCTCAACTCTTTATCCTCCAACCAGATGCGGCAGGTGAGCATGCAGCCCTCCACAGACAACGGTCTCTGCCCCACCGGCCGCCCGTCATCCCGCTCGTGGCTCGCATGGCTGACCAGAACACATCTGGCACTCCGGCCATGACCGAGAGGGAAGCGTCCCGTCTGGATAAGTTCAAACAGTTGTTGGCTGGGCCCAACACAGATCTGGGTAAGAGATACTCATCCAAAAGTCTCCACTTATCTGTCAGTGTGTGTTACAATGTGCGGTCTTGCACAGTCCACTTGTCTCCCTATTGCTCCCGTCTCTCTCTACATTTTTCTCAGCTTTTGTCTAGTTTAGCTGTTTTCTTTTTGTTCTCTAAGCTCTTTCACTTTTTCATTTCCTTGCGCTCTTTTGCTTCTCACTCTTAGTTTGCTCACTCTGTCTGCCAGCTGTGCCGCGCTTTTAACGATGCTGCGAGTGGGAAAGTCATCCAGCCATCTGGACATGCAGATTACAAGGGGGAAAAAATACCACCAACAACAAAAGCAAATGACAGGCCTTTGTTCTAACCAAACGACAGGCCTTTATTGTTTATCCAACCCCAGAGACTGTTCGCTACCGCCGCCACCCCAGTGCCCATGAAATCCTTGCAGACCTCCCTCTTTACTGTTGACTTTTTGTCCTCTGAAACTAACTTTTTGCAACTGCTGCGCATCAACTTGTTGACAAGTAGATTAATTATATCAAAGTGGTTATCAGACGAGTTTGCGAATTGAGCCTGTCCGAGTGTACATGTTAAATGTCAAAATCACCAGTCTGTGTCTTACAGACAGCGTGTTATGTGATGATACGCTAATGCTCGATGTTAAAGAGCAGTAGCTGCCACGAATTTTCATAGCTTCTATATAGTTTTTTAAAGCTAAGGTTGCATGAAATGAATGTGGCAAAGCAATCATTTTAAAGTCTAAAGAAATATCACCCAGCAGCATCTGAAGTTACATCCAACACTGGGGGAGCATAGGTCAACCCTTTACACAGGATAAAAGGTATATAGATGGTGGCCTGCTAAAGTAGTCTGCTATAGTCACAGGTTTTCTTTAGGTGGTCAGTTAACATGTCCTTATAATAAGACATTTAATTCAAAAATAAAAAAATGTCGAAGTTAGATGCAGTTATGATAATAATGAAACTGCATCATAATCTATAGCAGTCTTGCCGTACCAGTCAAGGGTCTTGCTGATGTCTTGCTTGGCCTCGGGTCCCTGAATACTGAGGACAGAGGCTTTGTGCAGGCTGTGAAAATTTATGACTAGAAGAAAAATAGTGCTTTAAATTGAAGTTCGAAGTGTGTTCCCATGACCTCAGTCCATTTTGGCAAAAGCACAGAACCCGACTCATAAAAAATATTGGAGTTGTGTGGATTATTCGAGGAAGATGCACTGTCAGACTCTTGGTAAAATCTCTGTTAAAAGCCCCCTCAAGTTCAGATCTATTGTGATAACATAAAGGATGTACATCTGTTGTCCTTGAGTGGTTTTGGTGTGTTTATGCTGCATTTTGTGTATGTGTGTGTTGAGTGTGCCTGACACAAGGGGAGCATGAAGTGAGAATTTAAAAAGTGCATTACCTAGCAAGAGAATGGGTTATGTGCTTGTCTAAATACCCTAAATATGCTAAATACAAAAAGAGTGTGTCGGAGATATTTCAGTGCATAAATGACACAGTTTAAATACCGTATCCTCCATTCTCAAATGGTGGCTGTGGTCTTAATTTACCACAACTGAAGAGGCTACCAGGCATTCATTGGAGACAGGCTATTATTAGAAACACGCCTTTTTATTCAGACTTCTTTTGTTTTCTAAGTAAACTGTATCATATTTCTGTGAGAATATTCTCAGTTTTCTAATCTGCTCCTGTTTCTCCTGTTCACTGGGAATGCAAACTCAACACTTCCTCCATCTGTTGTACATTATAAGCTGTACAGTGTTTCAGAAGGCATAATCCTGTTACTTTTGTAATTTTGAGACATTTTCAGTATTGACTGACTGACTGATTCTGGATTTTTGAAGCAGATACAGAAATAGATATTTAAGAGGTTAAAAAATCTGGTAAGAATATATCATGTTATTTACTTACAAGGATCCCATTTTTTTCACAGTTGAAACATTAACAAGTGCATTCTGGTAGACAAATAATGTTGCTGAGACATGAGCCAATACTGCTATATTTCTAATAAGATAATATAAATATAATATATCAGCCGTCAAAATGTGTCCACATTCCCTTGAATGAAACAGAAGGCCTAAACATTTCCTCAGACATTCCTCAGTAAAGTTGGTATATTAATAATGATGAATGACTGCCACTAATACATTTTCTAGACATGTATGTTAACCTGTATCCACAAATCATATTCTGTCAACAGAGGTGTCTGATTGGTTTACAATTTGAATAAAATCGTGAGTTTGGTCCCCTTGGTGCCACTGCTTCACTATCCACATGTAGATTACTTCGAGGCACACACACCAGGGCCATTGGCTAAGGTCCTAAAATGTAAATGCTGGATTTCATTAAGTTTGAATGGCCTTAGTCAGCACAGTGCCTCACCTCTACGTGTGATCCCCTTGAAAACTTTTTGAACTAAACAAACTGGTTCTCAAGTCGTCAGCGTTAGTCAGCGGCGGTTGTGGCCCGCTCGCGCAGAGTGTATCCTGTACATCAGCAGAGTGTCTTGAGATGTCAGACCCCATTAGGGCCTGCCAGGCATCACAAGCCGGCTGTCTAAATTTAGTTTAGTCTCTGCGCCATGATTAGATAGCCCAGAACGGGCGAGCCACGCTGCCGGCTGCTGGCAGCATGAAAGATGAACTTCATTCACGGGACATAATTAAGTGAAGGATAGGGGGAGGGGGGTGATGAGGGGTGATAGGGGAAGAGAGAGGGATAGGGGCAGATAAGATAAGATAAGATGAAACTTTAATGATCCCCATGGGGAAATTGGGTCATTGCGGCAGCAAAGAATGGGATATAGATGAGAATACAAAAAGAAAAAAATGAAATCGCCACCATCTGAAGGAATTTAAGCCCACGGTAACTTATAATTATTGTAATGTTCCTGGGACAAAAGTAAATATTATTGTTTGCTCGTAGTTATGAGTAATTTGTAGATCTTGGAGTAGAGAGTTGTTCTGCTCTGAAATACTGACATAATTGTTCTTACATAGAGCATCATTTACTCATCAGCAGCTTTATTGCAGTTTTCAGTGAAGCAGAAGATGACAAGATGGATTAAACCCCTTGTCCTTAAAGCAGAGGTCATTGTCCCCGTATGACGTCTGTGACCCATTTACACTCATGCAAATTCCCACACATACCAGTGGACACTGTCAGCGGGGATGACGCCCCCTTGTGTAAAAGAGATACTCGACCGACTGTCCTTGAAGGAACGTGGGGGGGTTGGGTGGGGGTATGTGGGTATGGGGGATGATCCATTGGTTGGGTCCTCACTCGAATGGTGTAATTAATTGCAGAGGCAGCCATGTTTTTGGGCCAAGCCCCCCGACATGTCAGGGCTGCCAGTCTCTGGAGTCCACAGATGTGTGTGTCTCTGTCTGACTGCTTTGGTCAGTGTGTGAATGTGTGTGATTTTCTAAAATGATAGCTTTAGCTTATAACCTAGCATTATAGCTACCTCTATTTTATGTTGCAGCCTTGTTTGTCTTGTCGGAGGGTGTAGCAGAGTGCACTAGGCTGCATAAAGTCACCCCTTGCCTGGAGTGATACGAAACTTTGCCTGTAGAACTGTTAGTCAGGAGAACTGTATTGAACTGAAGGTGATTAAAAGAGGCAGTTTGTCCACTTACACAATTTTCCAGCTGTTTTTCTGACTTGCCAACTTGCCTTCATGATCTTTTTCGCATTCACATCTTTATCACCCCTCCTCCCATCTCTCCCTCCCTCTCCATTGAACCTCGCGACAGGTTGTGACAGCAGTCTGTTTAGCATGTAAGGTCATGTAGAAGGTGATGACCCGTGTGTGTGCGCGTGCGTGTGAGAGTAGGGTGATTGATGTCAGCTTGATCTCAGCTAATTATTCTTGATGTCCTGAGGCGAGCCTGTCTGTTGAGTGAACCTGAACACAGCACCCACTGAACACTCATTGAGGAGGGAGTTATTTCTGCTGGGAAACTGAGGAAAAAAACCACTGAGCCAGTCGCTTCATGAGTTTCACTTCTTGTGTTGTAAGACATACCACAACTGTATTGTATTTTCACATAAGACGCCAGATTTAAACTAGACGTTCTATAGTCTACCATAGAAACGCTTACTGTTTAAATGTTTTAAATGAATATATCATTTATCAAAAAGAGTTTCCATACTTTCACAGGGGATCAAAAACCTGCGTTTGGAGTAGAGGAACCAGGGGCTAAATTTAGTTCCTGTAGAGTAGCTGAAAAAAAGCCCCTGCTGATGTTTAGGGGACTATTTGCTGACCACCCCTGATTGGTCAAACTCCTACCCCGCTGCAACTACAACTTGTATATAGCTACATTCACAAAACAGCAAAGTAATCTGGCGAGGGGTGGACATTTCCCGTTTATTAACGTTACAAAACAAGCCCTGACTCATTTAAAAAAAAAGACAGAGAAGACGAGAGTGTGAACGAGCTGATAACTTGAGCGGATGAGGAAGAGGGAGCTTCGTTACGCAACAGTAAACACAGGGAACAAATTAACAGTCCATGACATTTTCACTGCATGCCAATAATGAGGGGAAACAGCTCCATAAATGCAATACTAGATGGTCTGACACATTTTCTGGAGTTTGTAATAGTTTTCAGCTGTTCAATTTTCGGCTTTTCAACTACTAAACACAACTTATTATTTTCCTGCCAGCTCTGTTCAGAATTCACGATGAGGCAGTGTTTGTGCCTGTGATAGATTTTTTTGTGTCGATCAAGTGCGTTTGTATCCGTCGTAATGTTTTTTTTTAATCTCCCAGACGGTGTTTAGTGTCGTATACTTTCTGTAAGCCACTTGTTCTGTGATGGTCTATAAGTCACAATGCCAGATTTTACAGACTTTCTGCATATCTCTCTTTTTTAAAAAAATCGATTTTAAGACCAAGAGCTGGCATCTGACATCAAGCAGTTATTGCTGGATGGCAGAAATACTGCTGTTGCTATGGCAATTGTCCTTTTCCCCTCTTCTCTTTTCTGGCAATTT